ACGTGTATTATATATATATATATATGTGCATGTTGTGTATATATATATATATACACTGCTGTAATGGTAATCAGTTTTCCACAGAGTCCGGCCTTTAGGTGGAGGCTCCAAGGAACTTGATCTCGCTGGCTTGGCATCCCTCGGACCGCAGAAGTGTCACAAGTGATTTTCATGACCGAGCAATCGAGAATCTTGTAGTTGCACAGGTCGGCTTCGCGAGCCCGCTTAGCCAGGGACATGCTGGGCCTGACACATCACCGCCACAGCTTTGGAGCTCTACAGCTGGTGCCACAGCCGACTCATGACACAGCACCAGGAAGTCTTTCCGTGGCAAACAGGTCAGCGAGTCTCTGGTGCCGGGCTTTCCTCAACGACAGCACACGGGGGCATGCATTGAAGGATGTGAGAGTCCAGAAAAACTTGTAGAACTGGCTGCTGCAGCCACAGTGGCGCTTCGGCGACCCATTACCGGACCCGTCAGGGAGTCGCGGATGTTAGTCGCCGGACCTGTTACCACTTACACGGATGAAGGCCGCAGCTCCGAAAAGAGTTCACAGAGGACGACGAGCCCCGTCATCATGACTTTTCTGAAAGACCCAAAACCTCCAACTCCACAGCCCGTCCCGGAATCGAAACGGTGCGCTCAACTTCGGCGAAGCGGAGCCTCTCCGCGGTTCTCGCCCCGCGCTGCCTTGCCTGCTTCAAAGCAGCTGCTAGACTTCGCACACACACAGCGAGTGAGCAAAGGCAAGAAGAGCCCTATATAGTGGCAAGCACCTATCGAGTCCTATCGAGCCGATCAAGCCGACAATCATACTGGTTGGCTCAGCGCAACAGAGCTGGGCTTCTGACGCTGAGAAGCTGCTTCCGCGGAAAGCCTGTCTGTAGAAGCACTGACCGCACCGAAAATCGTGTCGCGCATGCCATCTACCGACAAGGTGTCCAGCAATATTCGCCTCAAAGGGCTGGGGCCCTGAAGGCGCTGAAGCCGGAATGACACCTTGGCCGGCTTGACTGAGCTTTGGCCGAAGCTTTCAAAGGCGAGGTCTCAAACACGGCGGACTCTTTTCCAGAACCGAACAAACGCAACAAACGCCAAGCGCGTCTGCGTTTGAAGCGACGTGCGCCCATGGCCGAGGCCCAGGTTCTCTGGCCTGTTGCCCTGACAGCCTGACGCATAACTGCTATGGTGGCCGTAGCGGCTCTGTCCAAGTGCTGATGACAGGACTTCCGAAATCACATCTTCCCAGTGCCGCGACGAGCTGCGACATTCTGGCACTCTGCAGGCCAGCGCGGCCAGCTAGTGAAACGGCACTGCACGAAATCTTACCTAGCCCTGTGTATAAGTACCTTTCATTACCCTTCCCAGCTAAGAGCTCATCCAACCGCACGATGTCCTGCGCTTATCCCGTTTCATCAATCAGAATGAAGGTTCGTCTCGACTGCATCGCCCAGAACTTGCGAAAATGCCGCAAACCTTAGCAGGTGACTGTCATCATAAGTCGCACAATTTTCAAGAGCAAGTCGAAACATCTCAACTGCCGGCGCGGGACGCGACCAGCACTGCTACCCCTGCAAGGACGAGGCAGAAAGCATTGACCATGTCGTTGCTCTTGTCAACGCTCTTCCTTGGTGCATAGCACAGCTGACACCAACGACGGAAACAAGCCTGCTGTTTCTGCAAACCTAAGAATGAGTAAAGCGTGACGTGGCTCTTCATCTCTTCCGTGAAGAAACTTTGGTTTCTAGCGGAGTGCTTCAGGTTTGCTCGGCCGGAGGAGCCGTTTCTGAAGACACTTACACCATTGCAAGAGTTGCAGCCCACCGAATCTCACCAGTGCAGCCGGGCAGCAGGACGTCCACGCAGGGCTTCTTTTGAAAGAGTTGGCTCACATGGCTGGAATCCTGCTGTACATCCCGCGCCATGTCGAAGACCTCGACTGGAGATGCACGGCAAAGCGTTCATGCCATTTTGTGTGCGGGAGCCTCTGCAGACCACCGGCCGAGAACGTGCCACTTGCGGGCCTGACAGCAAAAGCTCTTCGTCCAAGGGCCCTAGGGTTTCATCTCGCACACTCGTACAATGAAGGCACGGATTCAGGCGACGGGTCCAACTACAACAGGTTTTGGGTGTAAGTCTTTTTGGTGCAGGTCTTGGGACCCTCGCGGTTCCCATGAGTGAAATAGCTACAAAAAACCTTTCGTGTCAACTGGTGCAAGCACCACTAAAAGCGATTGCACAACAAATCATCTCAGCAGTGAACAATCGGGATGTGCCAACAAAGCCATAAAAGCCTAATTAGTCAGATATAACCACATGTCCTCAAAAACAACCAGTCCTGATGAATTTATGCATAGTGCTACCTTGCAAACCGCCATGCCGACGCCGGTCATGGCTGGGAAAAGCCAGGGTGCGAAATGCACCGATGCGAGGCGTTCTTCGGAGAGTAACCGCACTTGTTGACAAAACTCGCTGCACCTTAGGCGTGATGCTCGCAACTCATGCTGCACGCGGCTTCGGGGCTCGGGCTGACGGGCGTGACATGCAAGCTGGGGCACTTACGATAGCGAGGAGTTCCGTGTTCTTACTCCCGAGAACTCTTTCTTTTAGGTTTGTGTACTCAACCAAGGGACGCAGCCAAAGCCGAGAAGGCGACCCTAGACAGAACATGCACGCAGCATGCTCTTGTTTTGCCGAGGCCACCCCGAGATTCGAAGATGATGATGGATTTAAGCAGTTCCATCTCGTGACCACCCGGTATACGGTATAGGCCAGTGGAATTTCGCATCTACAGCCTCTGCATAGGGTCAGGGCACCTGCCCCCTTCGCTCGCGTAGACACCGTTGCACTCAGCTGCAAGCGGCGAGGCCTGCAGACTGTCCTGCATGTCCGTCACAGCAACTACTGATCCTCTTAGATCCGAAACCTCGGTCTGTGTCCTTGCCCGGCGTGACATACGAGTAGATCTGGAACTGGTAGTTCAGCCGGCACAGCCTGAGTCTACCAGCCTTTCTACACCACACAGGCGTTGTCAGTCGCAGGCCATTTGGCAAAGCTGCGGCAAATCCGCGACCAGTAGCGCGGCGACGCCAACCCTTGGAAAACACATTGGCGAAGTGTAAGGCGATCAACGACGGATTTTGCAACTCCGCACAGCTCGCACGCTGTCAGAAGGAATTCCTTCATGATTGCGTGCTTTATCCGCACGTTCCTAGCTGCATTCACACATGAGTTCAAGCTTGCATGTACGGCTGCGGCGAATAGAGTCAGCAACGCAACTGATATATCCGAACATATCCAAAAAATAATCAGGTGAAGCCTTTGTACTGGGGTATGGCACCGAAACACGTCCCAGAACCATGTAGTGTAGACAGCAACATGTTTAATGTCAGACAGGGGCTAACAGGGGCTACAGGCCATAGGGCTCGTGCAGACCGTGGTGTCTGGGCTTTCCGAAAAGCGGCCACAGCCTTCCGTATTTGCCAAGCTGCCCGATCCACAAGGCCTTGCTGGGCCTCAGGTGCACTCTGGGAGCAACAGATAAGAAACCTCCACCTGCAGAACTCTTTTGGCATTGCATTTGGGGCCTCGCCTCAAGTTCAGCGCAAAGGCCGGACGGTGCGGACGCTCACGGTACAGAACCTGATGTCGGCTCGGGAGGTCGGAGTCAGCTTCGCAGTGCCGCTCTGTGCAAAACCCAGCTCAAAACCAACCTCACACTCCATCGGTGCCGAATCGACCCCGAGCGCTTTCACGCAAGCTTCTGATGAAGCGCCGCAAGTACTTCCATGGAAACTTCGGGCCCGAAGAGGCCTCGAGTCTCCAGGAAGTGACCCAAATCGTCAGGGCCAGGATCGAGAGCCAGTAGTTCCGCTCCACGTAGAACAGGTTCGAGGTCCTGGGTTTAGCGGTGAGCGCTCCTGTCCTGTTGCCCACCCCGAACAATTATCGAGCCAGCACCATGACGCAACACCAACACAATGCAGGCCAGGCATCTCTCGCTCCAAGGCACCGATCTTCTGCGTCTTGGCCTGCGCGCGCTGCACACCTTGAGGCGTTGCGGACTGGCGGAGCGAGTGAAGTTGGACTGAAATCAGGCGGCTGTTCTGCTGAGGCGGCGGCTTGCGTAAGTGATCACTGTGAGGATACCACAGAAAGCCTTACATACATCAGAGGGGGACCCATCCCTGAAGCGGTCAGCACCTCATGATGTCAGGGCCATGTGGCTGTCATCAGCACGGCGACGTTTAGCCGAAGATTGCCCAGCGTCACTGGCGAGGGTGCACGCATGACCTTTGAGGCCACCTGGCTGGCAGAATGAGTCCAACCAGAGCCACATCAACACCGTCGGGCTCAACAGGATAGCTGAGACCTGCATAAGGAAGGCGATGTCGCTGAGCAGCAGGAGCATGACAACGAATCCCGATGGGATCGCAGCATAGGTGAAAATGCCCCAGAAGGTCGTCATCCTGCAAAGTCCACACCGGGAGACAGCTCCCGTGTCATGATTTCTGGATCCTCAGCAGCCCCACGCCTGGCGGATGCCGGCGGCTTCTTGTGGAGGCCTGTGGTGGCAACCTTGGTCCAGCAAGAGCAGAGGTTCCTGTTGCGCTACCCGAAACTCTCCAGGTCTCCCCCTGACAGAACGCCAACTACTGCAACTTCCAAGATCTTCCAAGGACCCGAGACAGCAGCGCTTGTCAAACCAACCCCGAACAATCGCACAGAGTTTGCTGCAGCTCGAGGCTGGGGATTGGTGCTTCTTGGAGCAATGCTAAGACACGTACCTACATGCCTACATAAATACATCACATACAGTACATGACCTACATGACATACATTATACATTACAGTCAATACTTACATACATACACTCATACAGACATGTACACATACACATACACATACGCACGCACATATACATATACATGTAAATATGCGTATACATATACATAAACATATATACACACAAACACAGACACAGACACAGACACAGACACAGACACAGACACATACATATACACGTACATATACACATACATATGCACATACATATGCACATACAGATACATATAAACATACACATATACATACATACAACCATACATACATACATACCTACCTACCTACCTACCTACCTACCTACCTACCTACCTCCCTACCTACCTAGCTACCAACCTACACACATACTTATATACACACATACACACATCTACATACCTACATACGCGCGTACAGACATACATACAACGGGCCGCTTCTGCTACAGTTGTATTCTGACCCATACTACAATCTATAACTCCGGACATATAATACCTTTACACCAAATGCACAAGGTATAAGACTAGTATTTTAACCATGTGTATATATGATCCCGGTTCTC